CCCCCAACTGACCCTTCTGTGTTGATCGCGGAACCATATACTAACGAATCGTCATAGTTTCAAAAACCAAACAGTGGTGCCGGTTGATCACTCGTTTTGAGATGCGCCATGTATTCTTCCTTCGTCAGAATTCGCGGATGCATTTGAATGCAGTTTTGTCTATCGCATTACTACTGCGTTACTGTTTCGTTACGCGTTATTTACTACAATTCAAAAGAATATGTGATCTCCCGTGCAAGTCTAATCCAAAGCATCTGACCCGGGCGGATGAAAGGTTTAGTTGGACGGGATTGGATTAGAAGTAATTCCTGCGGCGCCACCTACTAGTCTGGGATTTACCTCACTCAGCGTAAATACAGCTATTTTCAGGATAACTCAAATCTCTACATGGTGCTCGAATTCATTTCCGGTGGTGAAATGTTTTCCCATTTACGTCGAATTGGACGGTTCGTTTAAAAATTGACCTAGTTTAGCACCACAGGTTATCTGTTGCGAGTCCTGGTTTAAAAGAGGTTTTTCAGTTTCTCCGAGCCACATTCACGGTTTTATGCGGCTCAGATAGTGCTCGCGTTCGAGTACTTACACTCTCTCGATTTAATTTATCGGGACCTGAAGCCAGAGAATCTGCTGATCGACAGTACGGGCTACCTGAAGGTTTGTCCCCGAATTCCTTCCCCGATGGCCTTTCGAACCCTCTCCATCGCACTCAACTCAGCTCACTTTTTTCAGATCACTGATTTCGGTTTTGCGAAGCGGGTCAAAGGTCGCACCTGGACGTTGTGTGGTACTCCTGAGTACTTAGCTCCAGAGATCATCCTTTCCAAGGTAAGCAAATAGTTGGTTGTTCAACGAAGAACCTGTCACAATCTTATTCATGTTCTAGGGCTATAATAAAGCAGTAGATTGGTGGGCTCTTGGAGTGCTGATCTATGAGATGGCTGCCGGTTACCCGCCATTCTTCGCCGATCAACCTATTCAGATCTATGAGAAAATCGTTAGTGGCAAGGTGAGAATTTCGCAGCTCTCTTTTATTTAGCTATTTCTCCATGAGGCGCTTGTTTATTTTTGCTCCTGGTAAACAACAACAACGCAGTTTTATTCCCCATAGACGCGAGGATTGGATTTCGAAGCAATAGATTCGATATTTTTGGATTTTAGGGCAATAGATTCGATATTTCCTTGGTGCTTTGATCCAGGGTCGATCTTTGTTTGCACTCTTCCCAAATTTTTGCGACCCATAGCACCACCGTCAGTCTCAGGAGGCCACCCCATCATGACCCCCCCCTCTCCATACACGGACCGCCACCCTTGCCATCATGGCTGTTTCTGTAGTTTTTGATTCCGAAACCAGTCGTCACAGCCCAACTCGGCCTTG